AACAGGCCCAGTGACGGCCCAGACATGGATTTTCTGATTTGGGCCATAACAGGCCCAGTGATGGCCCAGACATGGTTCTACCTGATTTGGGCCATAACAGGCCCAGTGACATCATAAAGCACAATGGATACACAATTGATCCATTGTGTATATAATGTTTGCATAAATTTTGATACGCCATTTCAGTTAACTCTGAACTTGTGATCGACTTTTACAGTATTTCAATATGTTGCCTTTATAGTTTGATGCATGTGCTTTGTATTGTTTAAGTTTAAGTTTTCTTGCGTTTATACTTTTCTTACGTCTTCGAAAGAAATGGCGAAACCAAGTTTTTTTTTACTTGTTTCATCTCGTAGTTAATATGTACAATTGACTTATTTATTTTCAGTGTGCTGCTCTAGTTCTGTAACGTGCAAAAGGACGCCAATCGTGATTCACTGGATTGCTGTGATGCTAATTTGCGATACATGCCTATATATTTTAGCGTATCATTTATTTGTAATTCCGTTGATGATTAACGTTAGCACTTATCGACCAGATTGTTGTAACTTTTCTATGTCAGTTAAGTCTTTTCATTGTTTGGTGTATTACAGTTTCACTCAAACAGACCTGTCACTTACCGCATTGATAAAACACGTCCAGTCATGTGAAAAAATTAGGACACCTCATTAAATGTTTAGTTATTAACTAATGAATTTCAAAATATCAATATTAAATCTTTTAAATCATATCTGTAGATAAAGGTGATATAATTGTATCACCTATGCAAAAACAAGAAACGAATTCACTTATTTAGCAGAAGAAATTAACTATGATGCCAGTTTCCACTGAGGAAAAAGTTAGGACACCCTCACATCCATTACTGTTTAAAATGCCTAGAATTAGATTCTGGTGCACCACATCAGGTGAAAATGATTAGAACATTGATACAGTTTTTTGGTGGAGCCTGTCTTATTTAAACCACAGGCATTTAGTTTGGTTTGCTCTTGATTGTTGAAATGTGTGGAATCACAATGGTGAGATCCAAAGAGCTCTCTGAGGCTTTAAGAAACAAGACTGTAGATGCATATCAGTTTGGGAAGTTGAAGCTGAAGTGGGGGTGGGTTATGCAACATGACAATGACCCAAAACATTCCAGTATTTCTACCAAGAAAAGGCTTAGAATAAAGAAATGGGGAGTTCTGGAATAGCCAAGGCAAAGCCCAAATCAAATTTTTTTGCAATGCTGTGGGGTGATTTGAAACAGGCCGTGCACATGAGACACCTTTCAAACATCACACAGCTTAAGGAATTCTGCAGTGGGGAAAACTTTCTGCCAGCGATTTCAGAGATTGATATGTGGTTTCAGAAACATCTTATTGAGGTTATTTCAGCCAAGGGGGGACATACTAGCTATTAAAGCATCGGGTGTCCTATCTTTTTGCATGCGAGGACTGGGTGCCGGGCAGGGCTGCGGGGTCCAGTGGCTGTGGGGCATCTGTTGGTAAGGAAAGATTTACTGATCTTGACCTTGTCAATGATGCTCTGACCTCCACAGAGTCAATAAAGGCTCTGATTGGGGCCCTCGAAAGACTGTGCAAGGAGTCAGAGTGTCTGGGGTTGTTGGAGGCCTGGATCAAAACCAAGACCCAAGCATTTAATGACCTCATGGGCACAGCCATCAATAGTGTGTCTGTCTGTGGAAAGAATGTTGATCTCGTCAAGAGGTTCACTTACCTTGGCAGTGATATTCATGTCTGTGGTGACTCTTCCTATGAAGTCAGTAAATGGTCTGGGAGAGCATGGGGGGTCAAGAGATCGCTCAAATTGGGTACGTGGCACTCCCAATATCTTTGTAAGTGCTACGGTGCAGCATGGTGCAGGCAGGAAAGAGGTAACGATCCACTAGCATCTCCAAGACTAAAAGATTACAGAACACATTGGGGTAAAATACTAAACAAAAGAATCGCTTGGGGTCAGAAACAAACTGGGTGAAATAACTCTCTCTCGGCTCTCAGCGGAGGCGGACGCACTTCTCTCCCTCTCCCTCCCCTTATCTTCCCTG